ATTCTGATAATCAAAGGATATGTAAACATTAATTTTGCGCAGTTTTCTTGTTTTCTATTATTTGTAAGCAGTTACTAGTTATATATAAATTTAAAGTAGTTTATATATTAATTTTTAATTATGAACAATATATATTAATTTTTAATTGTAATCTTACCATTAGACATGCTTAACATCCCAAATGTTCTTGGAGGGCCTACTTCACGACATGTTAAACTTTGCAAATTCTCTGCATTATCATTTATATATTCTATAAATTGTGTTGTTACATAAGGGCAATCAATTAATTCTAATTCAACAAGCTTATGAGAAGCTAAAATCTTTGCCGATTTGTCAGACATATTAGATCGTACGACTTTGATACGTTTCAATTTAGTTACAGATGTATCCTGAAATATATGGAAAAATTCATCGTGCGATTTTATTGTATCGCTCCGTAGAGCGTATTCGATGAGTCTGTCGCATATTTCGCTTGGCAGGATCAATCCCTTCAAGAGACTCCGTACGTTTTCTACTTCATTTATCACTTCTAACGATTTAACCGAAATAATATCCAGATTCTTGCAAATCACTTTGTAACAGAGTTCCGTCAATGTTTCCGATTCAACATATTGATCTAAACGGGAGAAGTCATCTATATCCGCCATTCTGTACGGAAATTTACACAAATTGCGTAAAAAGATTTATAGGAAAATATTTAGCAACAATTATGCAATTTCAACTGTCAAAACGCATCAGCTGAGGCCTTCGTGCCCAAAATTGCTGCAACACATTGTCGTTTTTTGTTTACATTTTCTTCCTTTCTTTGTCGTTAAAAAATAAAGTCGATTTACGTCTAATCGGCACAGTGACGAATTACTCACTAAACGAAGTCAAAATAAACGTAATCAGACCCCTATGTACAAGATCACGAAATTCATCCACCACGAATTGGTGCGCAACTATGTATGTCTCGAGTTGGAATTTTGACATTTCACTTGACCACCGTAGTGATATTACTTTTGAATGTATACACTCGATTATGTACATGCATACACCACGTACATGTGTGTATGTGCGTGTGGATGGAATATGTAGAATGTAGCGACTATAAACGTTGCCAATTCGTTGATGATCTTATGTATTTTGTAGGAAATTGTAAACTATGTATGGTATTGTTGTTAATTCAATAAGAGTAACTAATATAATTTTTAAAGACAGGTCAAACTTATAATTTCAAAACCGCGGATTTAGGGACATTCGTAGTGCCATTTATTATTATATAGCACGAAAAGTTAAGGGGTCCGGTCAGAGATGACTCTTATTGTATAAGCAGACGATTTCCGAGAACCAATTTTTAGTGCGCATGCGTATACTTATGTATATAGGCATATGTACATTATATTATATGCATTATCTACTGTTACATTGTACATATTGTAGTATGTGTAGAAAAAATAACTTGGAATGACATAAGGGCTAAAGAGAGTTCTAGCTAAAAAAAACGCGACACTAGAGAAACGTTTCTCTTTATCCTGATTGGATACTCTTGTATGGAATTGGAATAGAAAATGCAACACCATGGAATTGGATATAAATATAAAATTGCGTATTAAATATTTAATTTCTGTATTCAATTTTATATCATGAAAGATATTACAATTGAGAATACGTAATTAAGAAAGAAATTACAGGTAATATGTTTAGATTATCAGAAGATACATATTGTTTTTAGGTAGACCGTGAAGTTCTTAAAGTATAGGAAGACAAGAACCCAGAGTCAGATGCATATAAAGAAATATTTTTCATGAGAATATACATATATTTTCTTTTGTTTAAAGTTCACTGGTATGAAATTAATCAGCATTACTTTTTAATATTTTAATTTATAATTTCGACGGAGATTTGTTTGATTGTTCCAATGTGTTTTCAAAATCACACAATACATGGTATAATGACTGATATATAATACACATAAATTCTTAAGGTACCTTACCTGATTTGTCAGTAAAAAAAGTTTAATTTAAGTACTGTGTGTGGTACATAAAATAGCTACAATTATGATCCACAAGCCATGCAGGCATCTCCATTTTCGCGGGAGCAGGCAAACATGGCTTCAATTTCTTCATTACTTTTAACATTCTTCCAACCATTTGCTTGTGTAGAGGTATATTCATCTGTCTCTTCATTCGCATTCTCTGTTTTAAGAGACTGGTTTAAAGATTGATTGAGAGATTGATTAAGAGATCGGTTAAGAGATTGATTAGGAGATATGGTGCTGGTATTTTGTAATTTGGATTTATCAACCGTGAACTGAAGTGCATTCGCTGCCGGCTTTGTTCTTAAATAGTACATGCCGGTTTTTAAACCCTGCAAGTAAATAAACAGTTATTTAATGGAGTCCATTCGATCTTGAGATAGATATCAATTTATTTGGATCCGATGATGAAAGATTATCATGTATTTCTATCAACTTACTATTTGCCATCCATAAAAATGCATCGAAGTTAATTTTTCCGCTGTTGGTTTCGCCATGTGAACATTTAACGATTGTGACTGGTCAATAAATGCGCCGCGATCTGCCGCCATTTTTAAGATTGTTTTTTGTGGTATTTCCCAGACTGTTTTATAAAGGATTTTCAGATCCTCCGGTATACGTTCTATACTCTGTTTCATACGAATTATGTTAATACATGATTTTTAAAAATAGGTACGTATTGTGTTAATAAAATGATCTTATAGTATTAACCTGAATAGATCCATTATTTGCTATAATTTCATTTTTCATATCATCATCCCAGAGATCTCTTTCAGTTAAATCTCGTAACAAATGAGGGTTTACAACTTGAAATTCTCCGGAGAGTACTCGTCTTGTGTATATATTACTAGTGTAAGGTTCAGCAGATTCATTATTTCCTAAAATTTGTGCTGTGGAAGCTGTTGGCATGGGTGCAATTAACAGAGAGTTTCTAACTCCGTGTTTTGCGATTTTTTCTTTCAGTGCTTTCCAATCCCATAAATCAGTTGGAGTAACATTCCACATATCATATTGTAAAATCTGAAAATTTGTTAATATTTTATAGATGTTCTTTCATTTTTATTATATCGTATAACATGTGTGGTTATTTTATTATTAGTCATTATTAATTATTAATGAAATACTTACGCCTTTACTAACTGGACTACCTTCGTACGTTTCGTATGTACCTTTTTCCATAGCAATCTCACAACTTGCTTCAAGGGCACCATAATATAAAGTTTCAAATATTTGGATATTAAGTTTTTGTGCTTCCTCACTTTCAAATGGATAGCGCATTAAAAGGAATGCATCAGCAAGTCCTTGTATACCCATACCTAAAATACAAAATTAAAATATTATTGAGTAAATTATATTTATTTTGTATGTAATATAAAAAAGCATTTACCGATAGGTCTATGCCTTAAATTGGATTTTTTTGCTTCCGGAATTGGATAATAATTGACGTCGATTACTTTATCAAGATTACGAGTAACTATTTTAGTAACTTTCTTCAGCTTTTGGAAATCGAAAGTTTTGGAAGCAGTGTTTACAAACATATTAACGGCAACTGAAGCCAAATTACATACAGCAACTTCATCTGGACTAGAATACTGAACAATTTCTGTGCATAAGTTACTACATTTGATTGTTCCTATATTTTGATGATTTGATTTTCGATTACAATGATCTTTATATAGCATATAAGGAGTTCCTGTTTCTACTTGTGTTACAAGGATTGCAGTCCATAAGTCTCTAGCTTGAATTTGCTGTTTATATCTTTTCTCATTTTCGTACCTAAGAAAAATATTTAAATAAAATTAGGTATATTTGATTTTGTTGTACCAACATTATTAATTCATATGCACTGTACCGCATATAGAGAGCTTCAAATTCATCGCCCCACACGTCAGCCAAACCAGGAGATTCATGGGGGCACATTAAAGTCCACACTCCATTTTCAAGTACTCTTTTCATGAACAGATCAGGAATCCATAAAGCATAAAACAATTCTCGTGCTCTATTTTCTTCTTTACCTATTAAATATAAACAATTATAATATTATAAAAACATGAAATAATTCAGTAATGATTTAATTAATCAATAATTTATATATACCTGTGTTCTTTTTGAGATGCAGAAAATCAAAAATATCAGCATGCCATGGTTCTAAGTAAATAGCAAATGCTCCGGGTCTCTTATTTCCACCTTGATCAACATATCGAGCTGTGTTATTGTATACTCTGATCATTGGAATTAAACCATTGGATACACCAAAGGTACCAGCAATCGGAGTCCCTCTTGCTCGAATGCAATGAACATTGAGTCCAATACCACCAGCTGATTTACTAATAAGTGCACATCTTTTTAATGTATCATAAATTCCTTCTATGCTATCTTCAGTCATTGTCAGAAGAAAGCAACTGAAATTAGTAAAATAAAAGTATGATTCACTGAAATGAAATCAGCTTGTGGTAAAACATATATTACCAAAATACATTATAAATTTACCTAGACATTTGTTGTCTGATAGTACATGCAGAGAAGAGTGTTGGCGATGCATGTGTAAAATAACGTTCTGATAAGAAATTGTAAGTTTCTATAATTCTGTCAATATCCTCGCCATGGATAGCAACTGAGACTCTCATTAACATGTGTTGTGGTCGTTCAACAACCTTTCCATGTATCTTAAGTAAATAACTTCTCTCAAGAGTTTTAAAGCCAAAATAGTTATAATTAAAATCTCTGTCATAAATTATTGCAGAGTTTAATTTGTTTGCATTATTTTGAATGATGTTATAGTATGTTTCATGAATCACAGGTCTAGGTTTATTCGTATATTGCTCTTTAACATGATGTAAATCATGTATTACGTCTATAAATAAAATGGAATAATTAAAATGACGATTACGCTGTAAATGTTTATATTTAAAATGAAAAGTGAATGTCTATAATACCGCTGAAACTTTTTTTTGTTTCTTTATGTAAATTAGAGATAGCAATTCTTGCTGCCAATATAGCATAATCTGGATGTTTGGTAGTCATAGTAGCTGCAGTTTCAGCTGCAAGATTATCTAATTCGACTGTACTAACACCTGAATATAATCCACTGATAACACGAAAAGTAATTGCAGACTGTAAAGAATTATTTAAAAAATCTTAAAACAAATGAATTCCAATCTTTGACTTACTTCAATACAAGAGTATTTAAGTGATAATATAACTACTTATTTCAACTACTCCTTTAATCAGTGAATCAAATTATGGAATACTGTGAAAATGTGTATTGTTTCATAAGAATATTATTTTGTTGACTTAATGATTAAAGGTCTAAAACTTAATGAATTATTAAAAAAAAACTTACAGGGTCCACATAATCCATGTCTAAATTATAACATAACTTTTGTATTCGAGATGTTATTTTATCAAAATGAACATCTTCTTTACGCCCATCTAATAAAAATTATTAGTTTAATGACACAGAGTTAGACTAATAACGCAATATCGTAAAATCGCAATGCAAATACAAATGTTATTTCCAAGAAAATAGTATTTCCTTCTACTTACCGCGCTTTATTACATACATCTTCCCCTTTCCAACCATTTTTTTAGTTAGAACAAGATACTTATCAAACAAGAATTCTCTTCAAATTTCTTCCGGTTACATGAAGGCACAATATCCTACCAGTTTATGGCGCCAACGGTTTTTCGTTCATACGAAATATAATAACTTCACAGTGATCTTAAGCGGAAATACATGTGTATGTATACGCGCAATCCGCTTATCGTGGATTCAATTCCGACCAATACACTGTGGCGGGCGACGATAGTGACACCTAGCAGTACTAAATGAAAGGTAAAGATTATTTAGAGGTCGTTAGCGACATCATCCGTGTGAACAACAATCGTCCGCGGTCCGCGTGATTTTCAGTTCACGTTAAATCTCTATGAACTGGTTGTGTCACTTTAATAGAATTAAATCGAATTAAAGTACTGACCTTAAAAAGCGATCTTTGAACATATCATCACAAACGAGGTATGTGATGGTTTGTAGCACATTTTGTGAAGGAAAGAATTTTAACAGTCTACATAATTTAAATATACATCTTACTTTGAACATAAGAATATGTTCAATGGTGTAAAATGATTCATATTTATTCCAAAATGTGAAAGCCAAGTAATATAGCGAAATGGTAATTTGGAAGTTTATTGATAGGAAAATGAAATGGTGAAGTTGTTTAACTTAAATTTTTGCATGATCGAAATTTAAGACAATAATAATTGTCCTTATGAATTGGAGTTGATGGAAAGTCGCGGATTTTCTTTCTCACGTTGCTAAACATCATCAGCCAATGCTTTTATTGATTTTGAAATGACTAAAAGAAGATAGAAATTTCATGAAACCCCACGATTGTCCTATTGTGCGATATTACTCTCGCGTATTATGGCTGCGTGCGCTTTTTTAAATTTTAATGTTCCATCCCTTAAATGTTGAGCCGGTTCGAATAAGATTTAGTTCGCAAAACCTTGAGCCGAAATGCTTGAAAACGAGTCGCATATGCAAGTTCAAAACATATGGCGTAATCGCGTAACCACCATTCCTGGTCGTTTAAAAATTGACAGAAGCATCTTTTGAAAAATGCTTGAAATAAAAGTTTCTCATATCATGACTTACAATACAAACGTACAACGTCCCGTCTGAAAAACTTGATCTTGAATTGGGAACACTCGATACGTTAATCGATAAATTTTTTAAATTGTCCATAAAATCGTTCTTTTTTATTTTAATAGGCATCAGGACATCTGTCTCCTAATATTCGCTTATCATTTAAAGCTACATTAAACAAAAATATATTATTCAACATATTGGTTCCATGAAAATACTACTATTATTTTTAATAATATTCATAAACAATCTAAATTTGACTTTGCAGATTTTTGGAAATATTGTACACTACTTTCATTTATAAAGTAAAAAAATATTTCTTCTTTCTTCTTCAGGCATTCTTATTACAAGTAATACATCGAACAACTCAAGCACGCTCGAGAGTCGAGATTGATGGTCGTTTTACATACATAAAAGAGCAATTTCAATATCAAAACGGCGTTAGAGAATGGTATGTTATAATAGCTTAACGTAAGGCCCATCGGCAGCGGTGCATTCGGCGTCGATAAAACAATGAACGCATTATGTTATGTTTCCCAATATGCGGGTATGTACAGGTTCCCGAGTTAACCGCGTTAGAAGTAATAATGTTAAATTATATTCCAATGATCTTTTATCATTACAGACGAAGTACTTTTTCTTCGGATGGGACAGTTCAGTTCGGAGAAAACATTCGAAATATCCGAAGGACTATTGGCTAGATGCTGGATATCGTAGCCCTATCTGAAACTTATTGGATGGACCTAGTTTCAATAGATAGACACAAATGAAATGCTTCCTGCTTCGTGCAGAGTCAAGATCAGACCTGGAGCACTCTGTTTTAAGCGCGTTCCTCAAAGAAGGGAGCGATTCGCGGTCATTGGTGTGGCACAATCGGTTATTAGTGGTCTCGGGGCTCTCTCATCATTCACATAGCACACCTAAATATAGAGTGACACTGTGGCACTAATTTGTTGAATGAAACGATAGGTGTGTTGGTGCTTGGGGGACTGAACAGCATTGTGGGGTAAGATCTGTAGGGTACGGCAGAAATCTCGACGCCCGCCGTTCACGAGCACGATCCGAGAGCGTAACGACGCGGGCCGACGCACACGACACACGCTCCGCACCAAATTCTTCTATTTATTTTTTTTTATTTTTAATTTCACACGCAGCGGTTCATCGGCTGTTATTATCGGTCCAGGGGGAGACCTATCGCGAGATTGTGCACGTACGTACGTTATTTGAACTGCATGGCGAAAGAAGCAGCCTCTTTTTATCTGCGAGCGAGATCATAATAATGAAGTGTCAGTTACTATTTGATCAGTGATTTGCATTACGAGTCTGTATGTGGTGTGTAACTGTTCCGTCGAACCGTTTCTCGAATAGTTTCTTTTCGTTTACCGCGTTCCCGGAATGCATCGGAATTACCGGCGTCGTTGCATTCATCGAACAGTGACGTTAACGGCAACGCTTGGTTTTTTCCGCAAACGGAGAGAAAACGATCTTTGTGGTTTTTCTCGATACAAGAGGAAAAATTGTACATCGTGTTAATCCCACATGGCGATTCGATACGCGACAAATTTCGCTGCATCGATTCGAAATATAACATAACAATTCAGCGAAGCAGCGGCTGTACGATGATTGAAATTGGTAGAAACATCAACAGGATGTGTCCTAAACATTATTTATCCTCGTTGGTTCAAGTTGGCTACTATGCAATTGGTCTTATTATATAATTGAAAGCGTAGAAGTTATAAATTGTTTCATCCTCGGATTTGCATCTTTAAAGGGCATTGCACCCCGAGTGAATTCGAACGGTGCTAAAATTTTGTTTGCGCTCAGAAGAGACCCGGCCGATTTTTTTCGTCGACCATGACAGTAACGACAATCGTTTAACCAAGAACAGATTGAGCACTTAAGGTGGAACGACAGAGCTGCGGATGAATAATTTTCTACTTGCCATCTAGCGAATTGGAAATTTAAATCGGCGCGTCGCGATCGCGGCGTGATGTCTGCCGATCGTGGTTCGTTGCTCCACGCGATGATCTCCGATGACATCGTTTCTTTCACCGGTGGTTAATTTAAAATGGGACAAGGTTGCCCGATGGGAACAACGTTTGACAAACGTGATTCCCGGAAGTTGCTCGTTGTCTATCATCCATCATCATCAAGACCCTTGCACAGAAGTGTCTCACGTAACAACGATGACCGCTGAACATGTAAAGTTCTTCGGCAATGATCGCGTCATGTCTCACCTATTGTTTGTTACGAGCCCATTTGTATAAACATAATTTCGTATTTGTTGTAAGTGTCACGATTCGAACAGAAAATTTGTGGAACGGTTAAGGTTCGAATTTAGAAGAATGGCATGTATCGGTGCCGATGATCGATCCTGTGTGATTTACACGCGCGTTTCTTAAAAAGGGACTGTTGTTACGTTTACAGATTCGATCAATATCGGATAGAATGAGGTGAACTGAATCGAATTTGCCTACCCATTAAAAGATAATGCCTTCGAGCGGATCAACCAAGGTGCCCAAGGTAGATAGGTCCACAAGTCCTCTGCCGTGCAAACCCACGAATCCTGTTCAGGAATTGAAGGCTTTGTTCGCCGAACCGCCCTTGAGCACAAATGGCGGCAAGGAGAAGGATTTCCGTTTCGAGGCGATCCAGTGTTTGCAATCGACCGTTCACCAGGATCTTAAAGCGTTACCGGACCGAGGAAGTTGGTCCAGTAAGGTAAAGTGGTGAAGAGTTTGAAAATAAAAGAAACGTTAAAAGATAAAATGAAAAAAAAACGATCGTGTATCATTGTTTTCTCCCAGCTCGAATTCATCCTGTCGGTGGTTGGATTGGCGATAGGTTTAGGAAATTTGTGGCGATTTCCTTACCTTTGCTACAAAAATGGTGGTGGTGCTTTCATGGTTCCTTACTTTATCGCACTTGCGCTCGCTGGTGTGCCAATGTTCTTAATGGAATTATCTTTGGGACAGATGATGACCATCGGTGGGCTAGGAATTTTTAAGATAGCCCCGCTTTTCAAAGGTTCGTATCCTCGGTGGATTTTCAAGTAAATGAATATTATCCAATCTTTTCTTTATACGAACAGGTATCGGATACGCAACCTGTGTGATCTCCTGCTGGATGAACATATATTACATCATTATCCTGGCATGGGCACTATTTTATTTCTTGGTATCCTTACAAATCGGTATGGAAACTCTTTCAATTCTGTGTTATAGTTCTGGATTATTAGTTGTTGCACTTCGAATTACAGGATTACAATCTCGGAATCCTGTAGAAATAATATTTGCAGCTTTCAGCGACCGAATGATCAATTTTCTTTTTATTTATTAAGAAAGCTAAACTGGTCCCGCAGATGTGCCCTGGAGAACATGCAACAATTCGTGGAATACTCGGTTTTGCCTCACCTCTACGGAACGTGCGGAGATAGAATGTTGGCCCGACGATAACGACACTATATGCGCGACATCGATCGGCAATCTCAGTCACGTCTTTCTAAAGGATCCAGTCAAAGAATTTTGGGAGTAAGTTTCCCGTAATGAGAAGTACGCGTTCATTCAACACGTTTGTTACCGGCATTAGACATGCATGACGACCATGATTTTGTATTTTTTTTTTTATAAAGAAAATCCAATTATCGTTTAAAATTATAAATCATGATACTCGGAATGAACTTATTATACTTCTGCGACGCCGGTAGTGAACGTATTTTTATAGTTAAAAATATTCGATTGGTTTTCTCCTCTGTCGAAAAGGAGACGTACCCTTCAAATATCTGACGGCATTGAAAATATTGGTTCTATAAGATGGGAACTAGTAGGTACTTTGGCTGTTGTCTGGATTATGTGTTATTTCTGCATTTGGAAAGGCGTAAAATGGACTGGAAAGGTATACCAGAAGAAATTCTACTTTACTATAAAGTGAAATATGTGTACTATTGACTATTAATGTTATTTAGGTTGTCTATTTTACATCATTGTTCCCGTATGCCCTGCTGGCGGTTCTATTGGTGAGGGGATTAACGCTTCCGGGTGCAATGGAAGGTTTAAGATACTATGCAACGCCAAATCTTTCGAAACTGAGTGATCCGGAGGTACCAAAATTTCAATTGTTTTTGAGATACCTTTATATCACATCTTGATTTTTATAATTAACTAAATGTTCGTAGGTGTGGATAGATGCAGTGACGCAAATATTTTTTTCTTATGCACTGGGTATCGGTGCATTGGTTGCACTCGGGAGTTATAACAAGTTCAATAATAATGTTTACAAGTAAGTGTTTTTTGTTGCCGCAATTATTGTATTAGTTATTTAATAAATCAATGAGTAAATAGAAATTGATTTTAATAAAAAACGAAAACTAAATGTATGCATTTTTGTCTGTTTAGAGACGCACTGATTGTCTGTACAATAAACTGTTGTACCAGTATGCTCAGCGGAGTCGTAATCTTTTCTGTAGTCGGTTTTATGGCTTATGAACAACAAAGACCTGTTGCGGATGTAGCTGCTTCTGGTAAGTTATATTTTATTTTTAATTAACGTTTCGACAGTCGTGCGTATTTAAAAACTGGCTTCAATAATTTTGTCGATAAATATATGTATTATGATTTCAATACAAATGACAGTGCAAAAAACGCCATCCGCAAACAGAAAAATCGACGTAGTAATCTAATAGTATTCACTTTATTTCTTTTGAAACTTTTCTGATTTTATAATTGCATTAACCAGGTCCAGGATTAGCATTCCTGGTTTATCCATCAGCAGTTCTGGAACTACCGGGATCGTCTTTATGGTCCTGTTTATTCTTTTTTATGCTCATACTTATCGGTTTAGACAGCCAGGTAATTAAAAATACTTTGATAAAATCGTCTTTGACAATTACGATCAATTATTATGTTTTATAGTTTTGTACACTTGAAGGCTTCATAACAGCGGCGGTAGACGAATGGCCGCATCTTTTCAGAAAACGGAAAGAAGTGTTCATTGCGATTGTATGCCTCATCTCGTTCATCATTGGTCTCAGTTGTATCACTGAAGTAGGTCTTTAACAATATTGATTAGTTTCAAGAAAAATTGAAAAAATACATTGAGATATGCAGTGTCATATGCAGCCAGAAGAGGGAACCATTCTACATGTAAAAATAAGTCGAAATAAAAGAATAACATTTTTTCATTTAAGGCTTTGTTTTCGAGAAAACTGAGTTGAAAGATACGTCAAGTTCGCGTGGCTTGTAGTAGTCGACGAGAAGTCGAATTGGTATGTAACGATCAAACGCGCCACTTGATTCTTATTCGATAGTATTTTTTCAACCTAATTTTTCTCAAAAATGGAGTCTTAAATGAACAAAATTTATTCTATATTTTCGACGTAGTTTTGTCGTAGAAACAGCCCCTGTCCGGTTGTATCACCAGTTACATAACACTCTGTATAATTGCAATTTATTTTCACAGGGTGGGATGTATGTATTTCAACTCTTGGATTCGTATGCAGTCAGTGGATTCTGTCTCCTCTTTCTAATGTTCTTCGAGTGTATCTCTATTTCTTGGGCATTTGGAGTGAATCGTTTCTATGATGGTATACGTGATATGATTGGTTATTACCCTTGTGGTTGGTGGAAGATATGTTGGACATTTACTACTCCTCTCATTTGTGTGGTAAAATATTCTATTACGAAGTTTAGCTTACATTCCTTCGACATTGTATAACGAAAGCATAATTTTCTATTAGGGTGTTTTCACGTTCAATGTAATCAAGTTTGTCCCTGTAAAATATCTTACATACGAATATCCATGGTGGAGTCACATGCTCGGCTGGCTTTGTGGTCTTTCGTCAATGATGTGCATTCCAGGCTATATGATTTACATTTGGTGTATAACACCAGGAACTACCTCAGAGGTATATAAATTAACAATGATGTACCGTTCCAATGTTTTAATCCTATAATGCTTAGAATTGTTAATGTCGCATTTCAGAAATTTCGAAAGTTAATAAGAATAGAAGATGATGTTGCCACCTTACGAAGAAAACTAAATTCAATCGAAACTGCCGCTACTAGTGCAGGCTTTGAACTATAAGTGTCATCGTGCTTTTGTTTAATCACCATTAAAAATGCATGTATGTTATTTCAAAGTATAACTAGAGGAAACATGATTTCATACATTGAGCAATATCATATCGCGCAATCATGTAATCATTTACCATCTTGAATAAAATGCGTTTGTATAAAGTGAAATTTATTAATAATGGCAAGGTACAAATTTATAGTATAAGTAAGGATTTGCTATTTCTACATTTAAAGTACGATTAAGATAAAATAATTTTATTTTCTCATAACTCACATACTGTTAGATTTTCCTAACATGAGATTTATCGTATCATTACTGAAACGTATGATATCTTAATACATAAAAATTTATAAAAGCAAGAGAGTGGAAGCTTATTTTTTTAATGAGTTAATTAAACTTGTAACTCTATAAAGAAAAGAAAGAAGAAGTCTCCAGCTTACAATAAATTACATATACCATCTCATATAAATATTTTGATTCAAGTATTTGAACTTATTTCTCCCTATTTTGCATTTCTTTGATGCGTCCAATTAGTTGTTCTTTCCACTGATCTTCGGATATAGTGTTAGCCCATTCTGGGATTGCTGTAGTGGGTAATGTAAAAGATGCCATCATTGATTTCACTTGATTAATTTTATCCGCGTCCATATCTATGTTTGATCGATTATGAGGAGACGACCAAACTTCAATAGTTTCCGATAAGCAGTCCTAGACAAAAGAACACGCGTAATACGATTAAAAGGAGTTATGATAATATTATCATTATATAGATCTACATAAATACATACATGATGCGATTCTAATGTTGCTAATGATAACGTTTGACTAGATTCCCCATTACTAGATATCCATTCGTCATCCTATAAAATAAAACATAAGTTAAACAGTAAAAAAGTCTAATGTATATACATAAAATATGTAATATGGGTCATTTACTTCATCGTCATATAATATTGGATCACTGTCCAACGGTACTTGAGACAATGGTTCATATCCTGACATTCCTACATCATCATCCTCACTGTCTGATTCATTTATTCCTCTAGCATCAAATTGTAAATTTGGTGGATTTAAAGATTCCTCTATTGGCTGTTGTGTAGGATCGGGAGACATTTTGCATCACTTTTTCTTAACATTGACGGTATTCCTTACTTTATTTCTACATATACATATAACATGCTCAGGCTACAATAGGCAACACTTAACCTTGTCTAGATATAATATTTCCTATACTGAGACTTCCAAAATCAATTTTCCGTGTGAAATAAACAGGTACAATTATGATAGTACCTTACGATGCTAATATCTCGGGTGATTTAAATTAGAAACATCAGAAAGCAGATTACAATAGAGACGTTTGACAATTCACAGCTGATGTGCCTTTGTAGAGTCAGAAAATATATGAGTGTCCACGTTCGTGGGTTCACGCTCGGGTATTCGGCGCGCCAGCTTGTGAAGAAGCCAGACATTATAAATTGTAGGAATTTGACACATTTGGTAAGTCTGTAACTGCATTGAACTTCCCTCTTTCGAATGATACCAATAAATATCGAAAAAGATACTAATTTAAGGTAGTTAAGAGTCACCTCGTAAAGCCGTACCGTTTTGGCATTAAAATTCATGATATTGATAATAGAAAGCAAAAAATTTGACAAGTTTAGTTATACCGGTGCTTATAAGATGGCATCTTAGTAGAAGGACTGTCAATGTGGATTCGGAGGTAGATGCAAACTTGCGTTATAATACAGATTCTCAATAGATCGTGAACAGAGCTCTCAGGCTCCTGACCGTTTTTGAAATTTCCACGCAAGATCAGTATGTCCATTGCTGTCTAGTGTGTCCAATAATGTCAGGGATTCTGCTCAGAATCTGCTGCAAGTGGCGGAGAGGAGACCTCACAAATGGGATTTCCACATCACCCATCATCGTTTTACTTTTGCAACAACGAAGCAACGATGTCGTGAACTAATGTAGAAGAAGTATGTATAAGGAAAACAATATCAAAAAGAGTTCAAAATTTGCAGCTATTTGCTCGGTATCATCCCCGACTCAAAAAACATTGCCTTTTGCAATATTTTCTGAGTCCGATGATGAATTCCTTTAAAATTATATTATATCTTAGTTCTTAACAATTTAATTTATTATAATTACACTTTTGGAAGAGCTTTCTTGAAACACGACTGATTCCCACATTAGACAAGTTCCGACTAATTGAGCAATGACTTTGAGCCGAGCGAGCACAAAGGATACCCCCACCACTGACTTTGATGATCGACGATCGCACGATCGATAATTTCAATAATTTCGATTATTTCCAATTGTTTAATATTCGTAATAATTTATTTTGCAATAATCCTATCCGGTGCCCGAAAAATTATTTCATCGCTTAAGTTATTCGTGAAAAGTACCAACGAGGTTTAATTAACTTCTCAACGTAATTAATAACATAGAAACATACAAAGTGATTTTTAAAGCACGAATTTATCGAAGAATCGTTAGATCGAAAGTATCCTATTATTATTTACTTTCTTTTCCTTTTGCTAATTTCTTTTCCTAATGAAACCTTCTAGTACTCTCTCGTCTGTTTTCCTATCCAATGTTTAAACAAAATTAACTAGAACAACTCGAGATTTACTTTTCATATTGATTAATATTTTCCAGATTAAAAATTATTGCTTAAACAAATGCGACAAATATTTAATTACCTAAAGTTAAGAATGATTATTTTTTTAAATATTTTTAGTAAAAATTTCATTCCAATATGTACCTCCAACGGTTTAAAAGTTATAAGAAAATGTCACTGCATTTCTCGATCCGGAGAATATTTCTATTTGAATCCAGTTTCTTTTTTTTTATTCCCAATAGAAAATGCCGGTGGCTCCATCTCGTATTTATCAAGCAGCTACGCGTCTCTGGATAATACCATTTATGTAACGAAATCTGTACAGCAGGTACCGACCCGCTGAATCCGTAAAGTCACGTGACTACCCTAACCCCCTAAGGATGGCTAGTTTACTCCTATACCTCGTCCGCGATGAAACGTGGTATACAAAATACTCGATTCACACTAAGCAGTTTAAATTTCGGAAATATCGTCGACGACGTGTGCGACACGAAAATGGCAACGGGCTTTTAAAGCACCACTTTTTGTGAAAGAGAAAAATACATTGGCTGCTAAGTCTATTCCTATATCTTTTTCTGCGGCAACACTGTACTTCACGTTTCTTTTGCGTGCTGTCTTATCTAAGCAGCGCAACCCTGATAAACCACAGCATCGATTCTCGGCAACGCTAAATACGTTTCCCATTGGGCTCGACGAATCCGAATTTCCAGCCACGGTTCCACCGTTACAACGCTCGCCTCTCCTTTCCATTCACGTTACTCGATATACACGAATGCATTTCACGATTGTTACAAACTTATCTCGTTATTTCTCGATAGTGCGGCGCGGCGCACACATGCACCTAATATGATGCAATATTACAGTCCACGCGTATGCATGCACACTGCATTCATCGCGAAACAAGCTTGGAGAGAGATAGTTACGTATAATTAACGCGCACGTAGTTTCGACCAAAAATCATGTCACACATTAGTAATACGATGCCGTGATACATTTGCCGTGCTAACTAGTTGCTCGAAGCAAACGTATATGGCCGCGTTCACAATCAAACTTCAGTCAAAGCTACCACGATAGTTATACGTTATTGAATCGTTAAACAGGTATGTAATATTTTTTGCCTTCTCGGTTACGTTTGACACGATTTAGGGTTGAATTGATATTTTTGTACCATTCGTCTTCAATGTTACAGAGACTATGCAGTGTCGACCAATGATGGATAAACGTCGCAAGGTTCTAACTGATTTTCTCGCCGGGATAGAAATCAAACCCTAGGCTTGTACACAAAAATGGACCATTTGGGAAAGAGGAGTCGATTAGGGAGAATTTATCGTAAATCGTTCGCTAAATAAGGTAGTTCTTTTTTATACAGGGTGTCCCAATAATGTCTCGCAATCCGAAAGTGGCGGGTTCCTCGGGTCATTTGAAGCAACTTTTTCCTTTACAAAAATTTTCTCCGAGGCACCATTAACGAGTTATTAACGAAAAACAGTGACCAATGAGAGGCGACCTCGGCTGGCGCGAGGCTGCGCAGCCAACGAGCGCGCGAAGCCTAGTTCCGTTGATTGGCTCGGCCGCCTCGCGCCAGCTGAGCTCGCCTCACATTGGTCACTGTTTTTCGTTAATAACTCGTTAACGGTGCCTCGGAGAACATTTTTGTAAAGGAAGAAGCTGCTTCAAATGATCCGAGGAACCCGCCATTTCCGGATTACGAGACATTTTTGGGACACTCTGTATAATGAAAATATTATATAATGAAAAATGTAGAAATAGATAATCGATTCTCAACTAATTATAGTTTTTTCGAAGCAGTAGATCTGAGATATACCGACGATTATTACAACTGTCCACCCAACTCCTACTACTCTAGGTATGAAAACACTTTCCTTAACGAGTATCTTCCACGATGAGACCGATGCCTCTGCAATTCTCTTTACTTGCCGCTTCAAGATCCTCTCACATTTCAATGTTACACGCTGTTCTGGACAGAGTTATCCAACAAATTTTTTGTTTATAGCACGTGCAAATTCGTTTTGCACAATAATATTCTTTCACATTAAGAAAAGCAAATATAATCGTTCGTTCGCTCTTCCGCGGGTAAATCATATATTTTTGTAGACAGATCACGATCAATGCCTGTGCTTACAACACCGCGGTCGATTTTAATTAATTGAAAATCCAGCTTGGTTAATCGGGTACAAAGAGAACGCCGATAACGACATTCTGTGTTACCGGTTACCCATTATTTGAACGTGTACGGTAAATTCTCCCTAATTGACTCTCGGCTTGGAAACAAAAATGGACAATTTGGTACTATAAAAACGAGCCCCGAGGCTCGAACAATCGTATCTACTCTTCCCAAATTGTCCATTTTTGTGCGCAATCTGAGAGCGAATTAGGGAGAAATTACTGTATTCGAGTCTTGCACCTCGTTTTTATAGTTGTTGGATTAATCGACAACTATAAAAACGAGCCGCGTATCTCCTGTTCACAAATTGTCCACTTTTGTGTACAAGCTGAAGAAAAGTTCGGGAGAATTTACCGTATCATGGTATCCTCCATAAAACGTTTTCCAAAAGTTTAGGAAAGGCTTGGAAGCTTTTTCAGGCGTAATTGCTGAATATTATTTTGGCACGAGGTACACGTTCGTACGAAATAGAAAATCGTCTCTGAACAGTGTTCAATTAACTGTAAAACGAAGATATCGCGCTCAACGATCTAAAACGCTATGAGCTACAACGAAGAAAATAATGCAATAAAAATGGGCAATAAGATTAACCGGCAACGGTTAATAACATCGATGTGGAGCACCTTATGAACAGGAAGCATACAGGCTCGCCATAAATTTGGGGTGAAGGAAAATTAGGCAGAATTTACTGTAATTCGTAATTCTACTTTTCACGCGTTTCAGCCAAGTTAGCCAACAAATTATGTCTTTTTATATCCGTATGTTCTCGACAGTCACTTTTATATTCTTAAGAAGTGTACGATAACGTTTCGTGCGATTTGTTACCAATGAGAATGCAATCTACCATCGCACAGTTCGTATGGATTTCTACGCGTTTACGAGGTCACCGATAGTACGTTCCTGTGTCCTGCAGGATTTCGATATCCTGCTTCTTTGTTTCGGATTCTACACACCCGGTCGTATCCTTCGCATCAACACCTACGAATTTAGGGTACCCGTCATTCCGTACTATGTAGCGGGAATCCTTTGCATTGTGTTCTACGATCTCTCGTACCTTGGATCGAGGATACTCGCGTCCAAGATGCGTCCAGTATCGATTTCTCCAGTTACCGTGTTACGAGAGTCGATGCAAAATTGTAATTCGAACTCAAATAATAACTATACAATTGTGGGCGTCGCGCATAGCTGTTCGAATAACGCAGGATGATCTGCAACGGAATCCAAGCTATGTTAAACTGGTTTCAGCGTGAAACTCAAAAAATCAAGGATCGGAAGAGTTATGAAAGATTATAACAGGTTCTACCGAAACTTCTTAAGGAACGGTTTCGCCGTGATAAGTTCCGATGAGAATAGAAAGAAAAGTTGCTGGATGTAAAAGTTCTAGCTTCAACGAAGCTTGTAAAACGTAAAAGTATGTGTTATTTAATAATAATAATTATTATTATTATAAAATGTATTCGCGAATTTTTGAAAAAGTTCGCAATTAAATCGATATTCCGAATACGTTATTTATTCGTAATATCTGCACAGACTTCCTGAAAATATTCAAATATATTTTTGAGGAGGTCTCCAAACAGTTGCAAAATTATTTCGTAGAAATTTCGTAGAAACGGAAACAGATATCATCTTGAACGAAGCATGCCAATTCGAACGGAATTTCTTTCGTAGCAAAATATAACTGTTCATTTCCACGGCTACGAAAAACCCGCAGCGGTTTCGCGGTCGGAACTCTCTAAGATCCAGATGCGAGTAAGAAGAGAACGAATTTTGGCGCAGTCCGCAGATCTCTGGAGCACCGTGCGTCGTCGCGGCAGCAATCCCCGCGCGCACGGTCTCGAGGAAAGGGTGTTCAAGCGGTTTCCATCCCGCGTTTCAATTAATTTCCCGGCGTTATGAAATCGATTTAAGACGCGCCGAACCCCCGAGGGACGAGCAGCTCCTCCACAGTCGATTCAACTCGGCGAATCGCCTCGAACGCGAGTCCTTTGACACGCGATCCGGAAAATGGAAAAGATTCGTCGAGCGTCCTGTATTCCGTCGCGTCGAACCCCCCCATTGTTTCGTCTCGGACGTATAAATGGCGCTTCGCTCGCATAATTACCAATACGGTTGAAGTTCGGACAGTGGTTTCGGGGCCGGGGTAGTTCGGACGCGCGCAGTTAAGGGAGGAAATTGGTTCGTTCGGATAACTGCACGTAAAGCGCGTCCTGCCCCCCTCCCTCCTTCCTCGCGTGAGAAGCGACCGTAATATAAAATTGGACAAGCCGGGGGACACGCAACGTCTGGAATTTTCAGTTCCTGCGGAACCGTATCCGGAATGGAACGATCTATCATCCGGCGGACTAATGATATTCTCAGCGTTATCGCGGCGCAACGTCCCATAAAAATTCTTTACTG